TTACCTAACGCGGGAATCACGTAAAACGCGGACTCAGATTGGGACAAAAGTGGCAAAAATTTCAGTGGACTGCAGTTGGGGCATTGAAAAGTGTTCAGTCAAACAGCTTTTCAAAGTTTATCACTGAATAACTTTGAACCAATTTTGCTTGAAATAACAAGACATTAAAGTTATCGAGACTCGATACATTTAGTTTTCGAAATTTGGCCAATAAATATGATTATCCATCAGGTGAACTATCATAATATAACAATAAAATATAATACATACCTAAAAACTAGTAATGGTATACTTTAAAGAAAAAATATCGCACCCTGTTTTTAAATGAAGTGGGAAAAATGACCGCCAAATATGGTAAATTTCTGCTGGTGAAGAGACCTTCAAAAAGATGGAATATAACTAAGAGAAAAGCTTTAAAGGTTCCCGAAAAGAAAAAGGGCAATTGAACATAATTCTATTTTCAAAACGTATCGGCCCACACATATAAAACTGGTAACAATTGACTATTTTACGCTTCGAAATTAAGTCAGCAGTTAGGTTGAGATGAGAAGATAATAGCCAATTGAATGAAAGTGATCTTTCCTTAAAAATACGTATGAAATCCTCTAGATTTCAAAATTTTTCTGGTGGGCACACCCCAAAGGCCTCTCTTGCGGCTCACGCCCTTTCGGCCACAGCAGATCTTGCCTCACTTATGTCCAAAGTCTGGCTACGGCCCAATAACTTAGCTACATGGAAGCCGGTATCCCTCTCGATACCAAGGTGCGTGAAATTTTGAACTGGATTTTGAACTTTTCGGAACATTCAACTCCCGTCGGACCGTGACGGTACGGAAAGCGTAAGAACCACCTGCTGGGCGGAAAAACCGATCGAATCTTTGATCTTTTATCGGAAGTGAAAAGGACAAACTTTCGCAAGAAAATGTCATTCGGATCAGTCATTCGTAATTATTTTCTAGAATAACTGACATGAATTTCATAAATGTGATGAGATATTCGAGACGCCACTGATCGGTGATATTTTTGTGTTTGTTAACTCTCCCACTTCAAATCGCAGTCCGGCCACCTGCAGCCGGGCCGTAAAAAAACAGGTTTCAATAAACACAGGAGTGCAAAAAAATGGGCAAATTCCTGGCATTTTCATCGCTAGATTTACCGTTCCATAACATCAAATCTTACCTTGAAAAATTCAAATTATTCAATAAGAAAAACGAACTTTAAATCTGTCACTCCCAGTGGCCACTAAAACGAAAGATTCCGAACTTCATATTGCAAAGAGAATTAAACAATAAACATCACTATGGTTAAGTATTATTTGACAGTTGTCATTCTGTCAGTGGGCACGCGTAAAATGTTTTTGGACGATCACTATGAAGCTAAGAATAGCTTGACTAATGGCAATTAGGGATTTACTGAATAAAGAGGCGATAAGTGTGAGAATAAAACCTAATAGGCCGCCGTGGTTATAGAAGGCAGCTGGCATCCATAAGCTACATGCTCGAGGACCCGCTGTTTTAGTTCACTGACTTGCTGCCGCAGTGCATTAGCCACGGCATTAAGTTCAATATTTTTATCTTTTAACTGTTGCACTCTTACTTCAAGCTGAGCTTCTCTTTCAAGCTTTTTCTTTCTACACTTTGAAGCAGCTACTCTATTTTTCTGTTTCTTGCGTTCCCTCTTGACGATCTCCTGAAGTTCTAGATCAATGGGAGGTAACGGTAGAATGTTCCCTTGCGGTTTCAACGTCTCTTCGTAGTCAAAATTCCCGGACTCCCCCATGGGGCCATTGCAGGACACTGGTGGCGTATTCGACTCGTGATTTTCAAACGCTGCTACCCCGGCAAAACCGGGATTTCTCATCTCATAGGAAGTCTCGTTAAGCGCAACTTGACTGTGAAAGTTATTATGAGTGTTATCCTGTTCGACCCAGCCATTATTGACACCAGAAGGAGCGGGTATCGCATTCTGCTTATGAAAATGTTCGACTGGTTGTTGTCGGTCGTGTATTTGCTGAAGAGCTTCAGCGAAACCCTGGACATAAGCCTCGTGTTGCTGTTTTACTGTATTACTACCTTCGCGTACAGCTTTCGTACAAGTCGGTGACTTGGGATTCTGAACGCTGGCCAGAATTTTCTCAAACTCTGGTGAAATCAGATTAAACAGAGTGAATTCCGGTGAATTAAGAGTCCCTGGATTTCCTTTTGGCGTTAGCCCAGTGTTACTCGCAATAAACTTCTCCAACTCAGGAGAAACCATCTTAAAAAGCGTCAACTCGGGTGAATTCTCAGCGTAAATGCCCAGTTTGCCGCTTCCCCTGAGATCTTGAACCACCGAAGGCAGTTGGGTTCCGTCCAAGTTCAGCCTTAGTGAGTTCTTATCATATCGCGAGAGATTGTTCACCGGTACGGAGGTTTGTTCGTAAAACAAGACATCCATGTTGTCGCAGCTTCCTAAAACGTGCTCACCCATTCTAGGAATTCTTTGGCCGTGTCTTTATGTGTTAGATAATCTGAAATAAACGTAACTCTTCGCCAACAGAAGCCGCTATGGTCGACCATCATCTAATTTTTCTGAAATTAAGTCACCCTTCCTACCAAAACATTACGTCACCTGGCAAGCCGCTCATTGGTCCGAAAAGTTTTCGCGCCAAAAAATCTAACGGTTGACGCGGGATAACTTTTTCAACAGACGCGACAGAAAAACGAGGCTTACATTCACGCGTCTTCAATGTTCCACTTTAAGAAAGTACGAGGCTGGAAGTTAAAGGCGCTCTTTTAAAGCCTTATATTGTTTGTGATGATTATCCCGGTTGATAAACACGGAGTAACATACCGAGTGTTTCATTTGTGTCCACCTGTAGGGCACCCGCTAAAGGGTCAAAAGACACAGGAAACATACCAGGGTCTAACAGTATATTGGTAACAAACCATGCGATAATAATCATGTTTTCTCGGTGCCACACCGAGCAGAAACTAAAACAACGACAAGCAAATAATGGCAAACCTGGTGTTTAGAGTAAACTTAATTTGCCAGGTTTGTTAATACGTTTGTGAACTTCACCACCAACCAGGGTCTCCAAGACAAGTTTATCTATCTATCGGTTACTAACCAACAAGCAACTTTAATAACAAAACCCATCCTAGCATAGAGAACAAATTCAAAGTTAAGTACATCGATTTTATTGGTTCATTTTTTCTAACAAAACTATTGTTTTTCAAATAATTTCACAACGTCAAAATTTGTTGAACGGTTCATTAATGATTTTTTCTTTTTCGATCTTTCTTTCTTTCTTTTGGATGATTTATGTTTTTAGCTAAAGACTTACATCTTTGGTTTGACCAACCAAAAATCGTAAATATGAACAGATCCTATCTCATTTCATTAACAACACATATGTCCCTAGATATATTAGAAATATTTCCTTCAGTACTGTCGTATAAAATTTTTGCATCTCCGATCTAAAACTTCAGTCTGTCTTTCTGGCAATGTTAACCCTCAAAGTCCCAAGAGAGATTAACATCAATTTTCACCCAATAATATCAATTCTTGCTCAGGGATTATGTTATGAAAGTTAATAAAACTAATAATCACCCGACGGAAACCGCTTTGATATTCAAACAAATTCTCTCAAACAATTATCTAAGGAAATGTATGGAGATCAGTCTGGAGAATTTGTATGTGGATATTGGGGCTTAAAGGGTTAAAATAATCAGTCGTCTCGGACGACAAATTCAAAGAGGTAATGTTATTCTGTTGATAAGAATCTACTACAAGTGAACTTATTGTCATTAAGCAGCTCTATCTTCGTTCACCAATGTTTTGCATCTGTCACGCGAGCAGCACTCCTTCCAACATTTGTGCTTCTCGCCAGCGTTTCAAATCACATTAATATATAAAAATAGCCCATTGCAACATTGAGAGATGCTAAAACATAAATTTCAATGTAAGATTAAAGAGTGCTGGGCAATACACCTCTTTAATTCATAATGGCGGCCTATTATTATATCCTTTCATATGTATGATAATTAGCCTTTCTGACCTCGTTTGAAAGTAAGAATTATTTAGTCTTTTGCACATGCTAACGAGGTCAGAAAGGCTAATTATTATACATATAAAAGAATATAAGAATATATTAATAAGTCGCCATTATGAAAGAGGTCTTTAGGCACTCGACAAAAAAATGCTTACAGTTTACCCGAAAGAACACCTTGGTTCACTTTCCAGAAGTCGTTGATTATTATGATGACACGCAGTAAGCAGTAACATGACAGTCAAAAGGTTGTCATAGAAACTGCAAAAGATGATTGGCAGGTCTACAGGGGCTTTAGGCTATGTTCACACTATACCGGATATCTTTTGTGCCGGCACGAAAACCATACCGGATAGGGCTTCTGTTCACACATAAGAACGGTGATTTTGGCGCGATTTCTCTAACGGAGCGAAGTTGCGCGGCGCCGATCTTTTACGCGGAGGGTCACATATCGGACAGGTGTTCAGAGCAGCAGATGGCTTTTCGTGTCAGCACGAAAACCAAACCGGATAAGGCGAACATAGCCTTAAGGGCTAAATAGTGTTGTTCTATATTTTGCTTGTTTTACAGGTGAATATTAATTCCCTGTAAGATTATTTTCCACAATACCTCTAACACACGGTGGTTTACCTTTGGACGCCTTTGAGAGTAGCTGACGATATAAAGAAACTGAACCACTTGAGATATCCTTGCTACATATAGTAATACATGGCAGGAATTAAGCTTCCACTAAATCCTTGGACATTTTTCTCTAAGGTCATCAATTTTTTTGCGCATGGCCCGGGAGGCAATTTTCCGCTGGCACTCGTTGCTCGTTTTGCAGCACATTGAACCAGTTGCATAAGCTTACATTGGTTTTACGGTTGGTCCCATACGTCAGTAGCACACAATGAGGCCGGGTCGATAACTGATCTTAGTTTTCCGCTCAAAACAGCCTTTTCATTACTCCAACGAAACCACTATCCCCCGCACTAAACCACGTTAATTTTGATCGGCGGCGAAAACGTCCATGTTTTCTTTAACGAAGCATAGGGGCTGTCATTCTCTAGGTTTGCCATATTTGATTCCAAATAACGAGTTCGCTCCATTACATTAGAAACTGAGTCTTTTGAATCTGCTTGCTCGTCGGAAATTCCAGTACAAGAAATAGAAACCATATACTGCCCAGCATACAAGAACACCAATGAACAAGAGTGACGTAGAGAAGATCCTGGCGATAACTAAGGATAACGAAATACAGCTAAGAGTTGGTCAGTTGCGTTGAATGATACCGTAAACTGGCTTTTTTTCCGCCTCGCGACTTATAACACCCAACCACCCTTCCCCCGCTCCACCCAACCCAAAATTAATTTTAGGCCAATCTACCTGGAAAGAAAAAAAAATTACCCATGATGCAAATGATATTTATTTGGCAGCCTTGACAAATTCTAGCACTTATGGGACCGTCTGGTCAAGCGAATGCGTATTGGAAAACACAGGCGGACGGTATAGTTTGCATTTAAGCAGGTCTATCATTCGACCGGCAAACTTCTAAACACAGCAAACACATACGATAATAGACCCCATCACCCCAGGATACAAGCCCCTCCAAGTGTATTGAAATGAAATATGTTTATTATGACGTTTTGTAGCTTGATTAAAAACTAGTACATGCAAAAACATATATTTTAACCAGCACTACTATAGCTTGTTTCGAAGAGCTTTTTCTATTCCGCTTATATGCCCCCGTCGGATATAAGCTCTTCCAAAACCCTTACGAAGATGTTTAAGCCAAGGGTTTATAAGAAACAGTTTACGGTAGTAGGGAACCCTTCTCTGAAAACGCCAGCCTAAAATTTTAGTAGTTAGGGGTAAAAAATTGGGGCAATAAAACGTGCAACTTGTTTTGCAACGTCACTGCAAAACGAGTTGAAAAGAGGTTTTGCGAGTTTTACCACCACGAATTAAGTTGTACCACGTTACAAAAAGTTGTTGCAGAAAGTAGAGAGTAGTTCTACTTTTCGCAACACCCTTGTGCGAGTGTTGCAAAACAAGTTGAACCTGATGTTGCTTGTTTTACCGTGGCTAAAGCAAGAAAGACTGCAACAGATGTAAAAAAAATTAAAACTGTACCTCGGACGTGTGGAGCTGTAACGTCCCAATCCAGCTCAATTTTCCATCCAGCTCGGTCACTGGAAAGCCAGAGGCTTGGTCCTGATATGGCTCAATGGTAAGCAACAACGGTCCAAGTGACTCATCTGCATGACAACAGAGTAGAAAACAAACAGGATAGGTCATTAAAACCTTCCAAACCTAACCCTGAGCCTGTAAGCAAGCTCTGCGGAGTGCTCCCGTACCCCCTCACATGTCGTCCTCGCTATCAGACCGGGAGGGGAGGGGGGGTGAGCGATTGTTTAGAGCCCCACTCACGAAAAAGGTAAACGATTTCAAAACCGTTAAAGCTGTGACTACCAAACATAGCGACTTTTCCTAAAAAATTATGTGAGAATATTTTAAAGTCACCGTGACGTGTACGTTAACATTGACGTTACTATAGCAACCGAGTTTGACAGCCAAGTTTTTTCAAAACGTTTCAGTCCTGTAAAATACGTTGGCTTTCTGCATTATTATATTACACTTCATTTAGTATTATTTTTTTAGCTTTATGATAACTGCTTTTGTAATACAGGCTATCTAAAGTGACTAATTTGGAAAAACCATGAATTAGGCACGCGTTACAGATCACAAGTACCCAAAAAAATATGCGCAAATCCTAAGAAAATTAATTCTACAGCTTATAACTCACCGCTTTTATTAGAGACTAGAACACTGAGATCCACAATACTACACAAAGAACTCGTCACTTCGTTTGGCGATGTGTTGTCGTATTCTTGTCCGTTTATCTTTACATCTTAAAAAGATGAGAAGAAAAAACAGTTATTTAAGAAGAGGAGACTGCCTTTCAAGGGTCACGTCGCTACATGGCAACCCAACGCAACAACCTTTCGGTTGCTAGAATAGATTTAAATGCGCTTGACCTTCAGCGAAGGGAAGCCGTCAACTGTAAGTGACACAACTGATATTTATTTGGCAGCATTGACAAACTCCTGCAATTGTGGGACCCTCTGGCCAACGCGCATGCGTATTGGGAAACACAAGTGGACGGTGTAGCATGCATTTACGCATGTCTTTGGTTCGACCGGCTCAACACAATTACTTTCTGACAAAAAAGGGAAAAAATGTAACTATAAAGAACCAAACAAAAGAAATTTTTCACAAGTTGCATACCATTATCTTTACTTTCTGTCATCACTACAACTGTTCTCAATACTGCTGGACTATTATTTCATCACTTTTAACTTGATAAACATACGTTTTAACGCTTCTCCAAATTATGTTAATAGTTGATGATTTAGCCCATTTATGGATAAAGACGTCAAAAGCATTGGGACTCTAAAAGAAAGATATCAAATGATTCTTCATAAGGGAGAACGAAACCTAATAATTTTTCGACAACACATGTACATTGAAGGCCTAAGTCTTACACTGACAGTTATGGTATAGTGCAGAGTGCTTTTGAATAAAACAGGGCCATTATTTCAGGGTTTTCTGTTATTACAACGTGCTTTTAGGGTTAAAAAAAAAATACAAAAAATGTGACCTAGCCCCTTCAAGAGCATGCCTTTAGGTTGATCCAGCTGCATATTGAATGTTCCCGAGATCTCAGTCGTGCTCTGCTAGTCACCTTCGTAATGATCCCCGTGGGGAGGGGAACCGATAGTGCAGACTGCTAGTGCCCTACTAGCCATGCGGCTTGATGTAACTAAAGCGCTATACTTGAGGGACCTCTTGCTTACCAAACGTAATGGGATCAGGCATCAAGGCTTGTATCATGATGGCGTCTAGCTTCAGATTGTCCACATTACCGGTACCTGATGCTCGACAAGCCGGCTGAGGCCACGTTGAGGATGTTATAGAAGATTTACATTCCTAACTTCTGATAGAGGGGTTAGTCTCTAAAGAAATTGCGGTGCTTGAGTGCGAAGGGGGGCAACACATCAAGATGGTCTGTTTGTTTGTTTGTTTGTTTCCTAGTTTATTTGAAGTCTTTAAAGTCGATAGCGTAAAGCGCTTTTCAAAAAATTTAACCATGGACTTCATTTCCACCTAAGCAAACGGCAAGTGTTTCATGTAAAGACCACGCTAACCGTTTGCTAAGAAGCAGAAGAGAGATTAAGGATCGTCAATCGTGGATTTGTACCACGACAAATTTTAAATTGAACAGTTCTTATGTTTAAAAACATGTTTCCACAGCTTTACAGTAATCTTCAGTTTAGAATTATGTAAACACAAAGTTGGATTTATAATAAGCACATAGCATGCTAACAAGGAAGCAAACTTAAACAACATAATAAACGTGAAAATGTATCCCATTGGATATGAATAGTTTCCTTTATCTAGAGTTGAAAAAAAGTAGTTAAGGAAACCGTTCCTAAACGCAGCAAAAGGATACAAGGCTCCAATGAAGTTTCACTTTGTCACGCACGAATCTTTTGCATTTCGCTCCTCTCCTCGTCTTGAAATCCTTAGAATCCTTTACAAATAAAAGTTGATGTATTAATATGCTTAAGTGAAAAGCGTCATACCTATTTCCTAACTCTGTAGTATAATAAAGAACCTACAACCCGGTCAAAAAAACTTGAGACACTTCCGATTTTTTGGGCATGCAAAGAGTAGTACCTTCGCCCCTTTGCAGTGTTGTTAAAAGGTGCAATTTGAAGGCTTGAGCAATTTTCAACTTTGTGAGGGGAAAGGATGGGGAAATCGAACAAGTGTCCCAATTACTTTGTCCGGGTTTGGAACCCCGGTCAGAATAACTTGGAACACTTCCACTTTTGGGGGGCACGCACTGAGCAGTCTCCTCGTCCCTTTTCAGAGTTGTTAAAAGGTGAAATTTAAAAAAGCTTGCGCGATTTTCAACTTTGTGAATAGGCAGGTGGGGGGAAAAAAGTCTCCTTGTAGTTTGGTAGTTGGACAAGTCCCGCCTTTGATCTAAGAGTTTCCCATTTGACCCGCTAGCGTGTCATAATGAACACTCTATCTATCTATCAGCCTGACCTGTTGCTTTGAGTCCTCTGAAACTGGTAAGGCAACCCTTGGTAGATTCATGGTCACCCTGGAGAAAAAAACGAAAGCAAGTTAGAACGCAGTGACACACGAAACAATGTGCGCGACTTGAAAAAAAAATAAATGGCAAGGTGTGCCATCTGCACTGTCGAGCGGAACAAACTTAGAAAAACAATTGAAGATATACTGCTTCATATTTCCGCGCCACAATTTCAAAGTGCGTTCACACTATGCACTGTTACTGATCTACTACTCAGTCTTTCAAAATTGCTTCCTATTCGATCCAAGACCTGGCGCGCTCCCTTTAAGAAAAAGAATCGGCGAAGATTAAATAAACTTACCTATTTTTGTCATTTCCTTGGATATTCATAACCTCATCTGTGGACAAGAAGAGATGGCAATTGAGTAATATCACCTTATTTAGGATCAATGCTAAACACGGCGCTTACAGTGTTCAATCCGGAAATTAGTCGAAGTGGGTCATATGTCCCACATTGCATTTTAAATTGTGTCATTTCAAAAATGGTCTGGGTCAAACTATGATATTGAGACTTCGAACAACTGACATCATCCTAACTACCACAAGTATATAGTAGTTTTTATGCTTTTCACAGTTTTGATTCCTTTATCATAGTAAACGGTCAAATAGCATCAACATAGAGGCTGGCAATGCAGGTGGTACAGCTGTATGAAATCGCAAAGGTGAAACGTTATTTAAAAAAAATACTGACCAATTCTGAATTAAAGGTGACAAAATAACAATAAAAACACGATCAAACAACTTAACTGCCCTTCTCTTTTTCGTAAAGAAATGAACTTGGCTTTTGTTGTCATTTCATAATGAAGCGAAAACACAACTATCACATTGTTTGATATACCTTGAGGCACCTCAAGGCCCACCCCCTCGCCGAAAAAGCAGCATTGCCTTCAATTTCTTTAGGCACAATACCCAGGAGCGACAGGGTCTTTGTAGCTAGCCATTCACGTGGTACAAAACCGCCATGCTGGAGAGGAAAAGTCGCACTGGGACAAGACAAACAAAGGAAATTACCATTTAACATTATGAATGCCTTTTGTTTGTCTTGTCCCAGTGCGACTTTAGCTCCCCAGCACGGCGATTTTGTACTACGTGAATGGCTAGCTGCAAAGGGCCTATTGGAAACAATGGTTGCGCAATTTTTCTTTTGGGCAGTGGGCAATGGGAATGGGCGGAATGCATGGGCAAAGGAGAAAACGCTCAACGTTTTGCTGCTTGTTGAAGTCCAACTATGTCTAACTATGCGAATCAAATGGCACTATGACTGGTGGCGAAAGCGTATTGGCTAAGGAGTTTCAGAGTTGAAGAGTGTTCAATTCATCTTACCACACGATTGATCACTGCCACTTTGCACTGAATAAGAAAGCTCCATGTCATTAGAAGTTTTATTGACGGCGTCAAACATCAGTAAGCAATGACACCTGTCACTGAAAGAGGAAAACATGCTAAAGTTTAAATCGGTGGGGCATTGATTAAAAAAATCTAATTTGTTTACGCACCTAGAAACTAAGGAGTTCTGAGGAACTCGTTAAAACGTGTCCGTGTGTCGCAGATCGAATTGGAATTTGAACCGAGCCACATTGCTGGGAGGCGAATGCTCTCACCACTGCGCCACCCACGCGGCCACCCACGCGCTCCTGATAGAGTGGTTAACCGTTTTCGCGTTTGATTTAATAAACTCTTCAACTCTTAGATTTAGTTATGGACTCATAATGTAGTTCTTAACATTTTCCTTTATGTACGATCCATACTGCGAAACCAAGCCTGTCTAAAAAGGACACAATTCAGTCTGTTCAAAGAAATAGAAAAATAAAAAAGATGGGCATGTTATATTATTATTCATTTCCCCTCTTATAACCAAAATAAATAAAATTACCTTGGAAGCTCAATAATCTGAAAGTTCTCACACAGCAAGCTGGGAACCACAGTCACATCAATCGCCATGGTAGCCTTACGACACATTTTATTTCCGGTAACTCCTGACGCGTACCGGAAAAGAATAGTTCCCGTCAATCCCCAAGGCGCTTCGGGGTCGTAGCTTAGCTTCTCATTGCTTTCGATACCTTGTGGGATATGAGGAGTCCCTGTTATTGTGACTGTTATGTCAGTGATATCACCCGGGACAACTGGGAGCTTGGAAACAATTTCCTTATCGTCAAAGCTGAAGAGTTCATTAGCACCTGAGAAAAACCAACACGAACGAATCTGTCAGTTGAGGAAATGAAAGTCGTCTTCTGTCCATGTTATGAAATATGAAGTCATATTTTGTCATATGACTACCTACACGTAAACAGCAAGATGCCTCTGTAGAGTAGTACGCCGCGCGGCGCCATTTTTTGTTAGGGTGCAAGTGATCATTTAAACTATCCTCTCTCTCTAGAACCCTCTCCGTCCTATTTTTTTTCTTCTTTTTTTTTTTGTTTATTTTAAATTTCCGTTACTTTCGTTTTTAAGGCGATAAATAGAGAAGTGAGTTGAGATCATTAAGGTGTTCCAACAAGGATTACCACCTTCCGGCTAAACCTTCCTCAATCCAAGCTGTTACCCCAGCGCTGATTATGATATTAAGTAAGCAAATCACAGTTGTGTAAATCCTGTATCAATGGGGTGGTGTGGGGCACTTACCCTCTCCCTCCTTGCTACTGATAGTAATATTAAGTGAATCCACTGGTAACCTCCCAATATTTTCCAGTGTAATGGTTCCTTTCATGCTGTATTTAGAAAATTGAACAGACAAAACATAGTTGTACATACTAGAAATAATACATTCTAAGGAAGCCTCACACACGTGTATTCAATAATGAAAATGTTCCACCTTAGCTTGCTACAGTATTTATGATGGTGACGCCAAAGACAACATCGCTAAAAGAAAAAATGCTTTCGCGTCGTTTCAAACCTTTTGCGACTATTTTTGAAGTAGTCCAGCTACACCATAGAAATCAGGTTGGTGAGGGAATCACGCCCGAGCTCTGATAGTTATGCCTTGCTCGGCGTTGAAGTTTTCCAGAACACAAAAAAAATTGACCTTTTCACGTCTTAGGCCCCGTTTATATGAAGAATCGTCGTCCCCTGCTCAGCCTAGTCAACTTTAGAGAGCGTTGATATGAGAAAAGGGAGTTGACCCCTTTGCTCGAGCCAACAGCGCCCTCGCATGCTCTGATCGTCTAAAATAGCACTGTCGCATGCTCTGATTGGCTCGTATTGAGCGAGTTGACCCAGCTGGGCAAGCCAAAATGTTTATAGAGTATGATCCACCCACGGGTCATCCTTCTAAACGAACCAACTTTTTGTTTATCATGTAAACGGTTTGCTTCGCCACGTTTTCGACCGTTTTGTAAGGAAATATATGGAAAGTAGGCTTGCTAGGGTGATGCTCCATGTAAACGGGGCTGTTGTAGTTCAGGAACGGGAGAGAAAAGCGTGATGGACGTGCAGAGTTGAACTTGTTTTGCTCGCTTAACCTATTACTGATTTTCAGCTGATGTCACGGTGGCCATGCTGGTGGACAAGAAAAAAAAGTGTTTCCCTAGGCTGGGAACTAAACTTTTTGTTTTACTACAAACTCACCTTTGCCCAGCATAAAGCGTGACAGCAGTGACCAGGGTTGCAGCCGACTGAGGCGAGTCAGGATCAGGGGGCTGCGACCGAACCTTGGGTAGCCCGGTGGACACCTGTAGGAGCGGCATGGCTGGAACTACATCAACTATCACTGGAAAGGCATGTTTGTTTTCCAGGTTTTCCTCTGTCAGCTTACAAGTACTTTCTACTCCGAATACAGTCACATTGTAACCTAGAGAGATAGTAATGGCTTTTAAATGACCGGCTACCGGGGCGCGTAAATGTCTAGTCAATAAGACAGCGTTGTTTGGTGACAATGGAATTTCTGTCTATTAGCATTCCAAATAGTTTATAAACCGAGTCTAATATCTATAAAACAAGCCCCTAGCTTATGTGTCTCCTTTAAAGTGGAATGACCGTCCGATTAACGCCGCATCATCTAAGTGCGCACAAATGTTCACACATTACCACAACGTCTACAGAGCACATGTCAGTTTGGCTCTAAAAATGCTTCGTACAGTCTTGAACTTTCACAAAAGTCATAAACTTTATAATTTTGGGAAACGACGCTAGTCTGTTTCAGGCGTTCAGATGGTGGGAAGCAGTGCGAATTAAAGAAAGCGATAAAAAGTAGAGGGAGACTGGGGAGACCTCTCCCTCCTCGCGCTCCTTTTAACTTGGCACCACACCCAACCAACTGAACGCTTGGAACAGGCTAAGACGACACCTACAAGCAATAATATCCCACGTTCGATAAATTAAAATTCTAACATGACTCTGAGGCTTTCTGGTCATTTTCCTATATTTGGTTTGGTTTTCTTTGTGCTCAGTCCTCTTCTGGGAATTTCGAAACAAAGGAGTCGTGAAAAATTTGCAATTTTCATCCTAAAGCCTTAGAGTCCTGTTAGAATTTTAATATACCGAACGTGGGCTATTACTTAAACGCCAGACGATAGCCTGCGTGACAGGCAATCGAAAGGGAAGGGGAAAGGAATTTGGGCGCAAGACGGCGCGAAGGAGAAGGGCCTCTCTCGCGCGCTAAGAATCCCCTTTCCCTTTCCTTTCAAACGCCTGCTATGCTGGCTAGCTGGAAGAGAACTGCGCGAATTTGACAAATGAATAAATACATAAATAAATAAACGAGAGACGATGGCGAAGCCTTTTTCGCCTTCTACCGAATTTTGGTTTGGAAAAATCTAACTTCTTTTTGTTCTACGAAATTGCAGGCTTTAACTTTCGAGTTCAGTCAGATGAATGGCTATAGCTGTTTTTGTAAACCCACTAACCAGTGATTCTCAGTTGACCGGCTGACTGCGGAATTCCAAGTAGAATAACTGTATGAGGACCAGTCTTGGCTGGAAGGGACAAACATGTTGGGTAGGGTTCAAATTCACAACCTTCTACACACAGAACCTACAAAGGAAAAAATAGTTTCTTTATTTAGAGGAACTGCAAGTCAAACGTTAGTTGATATGGATGTGGCCATCTGTGCATGGAGTTATCAGTGAAAAATGCTACCAGCGATAAATTCCATAGATCAGGGCACTCGTATGTCACTGTATAATTCCCATAATCTACCCATCTAGAGAGTCACGGAACTGTAGCTGGGGATTAATTGGCCAAAAAGCGGAGCTCCCAGGACCGTTAGAGGCGTTTACAAAGCAGCAAAGTCATTACAGGACAAAGAAGGTAGCAAAGAACATTTGTGGTACGAGGTAAAATCAGAATAGCCAGGAGCCTATTCTCTAGTAGCTAAGGGACATGTCCAGCCCAATTGGCCGCTCTAAACATTACTCTCTAAAGAAAGGCACACATATTAATGTTCTTTTTGTTCTAAAACCCCGAGCAAACGGACGCAACATTGTTGGTCAAAAACTCCCACATTGTTGGATGTTACATGCTGCGTCCGTTTGCACAACCGTGTTGTTGGAAGTTGTTACGCAAAGTTTAAAAAAGGGCAAACATTTGTTCTACTCCGTGATCGGCAAAGCGTAGCGCAACAATGTTATTTCCGTTTGTACAGCTCTTCCAACATTGTTAGGGCCACGCACGCGAATTACACATGGTCTTTAAAGCCTTATGGGTTGTATCCTTCCCACGATGCACTGCAGCTTCCAAAATTGATGGGATTAGTTGCATCTGCTTGCACGTAGCTTTAGCTTTGTGCCAATGGTTTTTACTTCTTACCATTTTAGAGACTTTGAGTTCAAATGGCATTGGGTTGAAAACATCAAGAGAAACTTGACCGATATCGCCACATACCCAAGTTACATCTGTGAATTAAACAATTGTCCTTTATTAGCCAACTTATTCAAAAGCACTCTGAGAAATGGAAGAGCAAGATAAACTCTGGAGGGACGAACGTATCTTATATTATAGGCTTTTTAACTGTTTACGTATAATTGTGGTAACCATTGCAAAATGAAACAAGCGATGGAACAGAGAACAAAATTTCAAAAGGCGAATTAGAGTGCCACAGATAACCTACAAACCCCAAAGAATGAGCATTAGCACTAGTGAAGAAGGAACCACGCGAGGCAAATAATAAATTTTTCAATCTCAATTGGGATCAAATCCACGGCAGGATTAGATTTACTGTTGCAAATCGTCCGTGACATCTTTCCGTCTCGCCTGGTACCTCAGTCGGCAGAGGAAGAGCAGATATAATCTGGAGGTCGTGGGTTCGATCCCCACTGAGGTTCAAAGATTTTTGTCACCGCCTCACGCAATTCCCTGACTCCAGGGCTAACCCTTAGTTGCGTTATCTGATCGTGGGTATGGATATCATACCTGCGCTTCTGCAACCTCATTTACACAGACAATGTTAGGATGGAGTCTAACGTAAATAGCCCTATTTACCTTACGCATAGTTATTAAAATGGAATGGTTCGGAAACCCTTTGTTATATGTTTTTGTTACCTTTTTTGGACCTGACCGTGCACAACATTCAATAGCATTCCCACAATTTTGAACTTACTGACCAATAGAAACATCGCATTAATTTATTCAGTCATAATTTGTGAACAAAAAACAAAGGATTGTGCACGGTCAGGGATCTTCCAACATAACCTACAGCACCATTGTTTTCAACTTTGATGTTTGCTGAGTTTCCTAACCAGTCTCCTCTACTAACGATGCCCTACAAGAGTACCAATTAGGTTTTCAGTCTTTACACTTAACCTCGTCCCAACCTTATCACATAAGGATATCAGCTAAAATAGCTGCCGACTGAGGTCTGCCTTTCACAGAGTTGCAAAATGGGATGTTCCGTTGGGATTTATTACTCACGATCGCTCGGATCATGGAATATCAAAGGAAACGACGAATACTTTTCCAGAAGGAATACAGCGGTTCCTTTGATGTACCATGATTTGAGTGACCTTGATCATGAATCACGACCCGGATCATCCTAAATGAACGCGGCCGAAATCAGATGTGTTAACCCTACAGTGGCTACAACAATTAACTGTAGTCTTAGCAACTTCGTTCCTTCAATCCATTCGACTTCCCTTGTTGGCCTTACTTTTAGCCGCCTAAAAATCACGGGATTGTAAAATGGGGTGTTCCGTTGGGATTTATTATCCACGATCACTCGGATCATGGTGTATCAAAGGAAACGACACATACTTTTCCAGAAGGAATACAGCGGTTCCTTTGATGTACCATGATTCCAGTGACCTTGATCATGAATCATGACCCGGATCATCCTATACGACCGCGGCCGAAATCAGATGTGTTAACCCTACAGTGGCTACAACAATTAACTGTTGTCTTAGCAAATTTGTTCCTTCAATCCATTCGACTTCCCTTTTTGGCCTTACTTTTAGCCGCCTTTGTCTGTTTTACATTCCGTCTCAGAGATGAAAATATAAACGGTCCTGAAGAGCCAGCATCAGAGCTCGTAAGAGACTTCTTTCCAACTGGTTTCAAATGAGTGGCTAAAGGTTGAACTTTGAAGGATCTGTGGAAGGTAAATTAGGCCACATTTTTTAATAGGAATCTTTATTCACTGAATATGCGCGCTGCGAGTTGTCATCAAGCTTCGGTTAACGACCAAACGTTTTCGTCCACCATAATATTTGCATAAAGTAGCTTTAAAAATTGGTGATACCTTCTCTAGTTGGCTACCTTTCATAAGGAGGAACAATTGGGCTCTATTGTTGGACCCTTGCTATTTACAATTTTTCCTCAATGAGTTGCTCCAACCAACTCTGACATCAATTTTTATGTTGACGAAACAGCAGAGCCTTTTTCCCTGTGGACTGAAACCAATTACAATGCAGACCTCTCAATGGGGCAATTTAGCTCTAGCATCTGAATGGTTTCAAGCTAAGAAAAGCCAGGAAGGGGTTGATACCAAAGGTCAGCAGATCTCACCTAACTACAGGCATTTTAGTCAGTGACAAGGAAGCCAAGTCTAGCATCTCAACTCTGTTGTTCTCTTTCTCTTTAGGTGAGCCTGCAGTAAATCTTGCTGGACTGTCCAGAAGTACTGACAGCTCTCTCCTCTCCGCGTCACTTAGATGATCATGCATCGTGTGGAGTAAGAAAGTCACATGCCTGAAGAAAGGAACATAGTATACCTGTGAGGGTGGTAATCAGTCTTATTATACATGTAGTTATGGCTACATCTGCAAGTCCAGTGGGCAAGATGAAGTGAATCTTGTGTTCTCATTGGCTACTTGAGCGGGCAAGATCGGCCCTTCTTGCATTGGTCCCACAAGAAAAAAGTTCTCTTTTTGACATAATAAATCCTTTAATGAGCAAGCGTGAGTTCAAGATGGCTGTCCAGATATACCGTAAATAACCTAATAACGCCCAGGGCGGCTACTGAATTTTAGGGCTCCAAGTGGGGACGTTTAATATATACGAGGGGTTTATAACCATAACAGCAATAAGCTCAATGCTTTCGGCAAAAATATCAAGAGAGTTTAAAAATAGTGGAATATCCACTTCATCAAAATTCATCAATTGATACGTCTAAGCCATCTATAAATCCATATTGCTCTTTCAAATCCCAACATCGATATCCGAATCCTCGCTCAGGGTTACTGTGTTGCCATCGCTAATCTCTATATCCTTACTTTGAACTTGACATTAGCAAGATGAAGTATGCAAAGCTTTGTTAATCAGACAAGAAACTGAAGAATTGATTTATTTTGCTCCTTTCTGCTAA